GGCAGTCCCGACGAAGAGAGTACGTCGTGTCACCCAGCTGCGCCTTGTGTCCCTAGTCAGGATCATGAGAAGTGCATCAAGGAGGACCGATTGAGATCTGACCGCTGTAATAAATGCCGATAATTTGAGCCAATCAGATAGTGCTTGACCGCCATCGTGCAAATTCCAATTACAATACAAGAATGTAGAAGGTTCATACAAACTACCAACATCAATAGCCATTGAGACACTGGCCAAGCAATTCCCAATAAAATTCTCAAGCATAGAGCTCGTCAAACGACAGCCACTCAATTCGTGTGGCTGAGGTGAATTATTAGCAAGTTCACACAAAAAGAAGTCATTGAGTCACTTCCAAAACCATTCATCGCAAACAAGAGCAGCCAACTACAGCCAAATGGCACGTAGACAGAGCCTTCAGGATGGCGAGGGCACTGGCTTGACAACTCGTGCAATGAGCCAAGGTGTGGCTTTGCTTGAAAACTTGCAGAACCAACGCCAAGAAAAACGAGCACGCTATTCAACTGCACGCCATGACGACGACGGCGATCAAGATGAGTCCACGAGCCCAATCTACGATGCATACTTGGATAGTCAAGGCCCTGATGGGACCCATGAACCACCAATTTCAGTCCCTCCGAGTTTACGTTGCTGTGGGCTGAGGTCCGAAATCATATTGCACGTCACTGGAATGTCGGCTCTGGTCGCAAGTCAAACGTCTCGGCGCGCGACATGCTCTTCATTGTCTTGACGTCGCTGAAGCATTGCGGCACTTGGGACATCGTTGCGGCTGTGTTTCAACATTAGACAGTTACGTTCAAAAAGCGGGTCATGACGTACTTGGCTGTGCTTCATCCATTCTTGTACCGGAAGTTCGTCGAAGCGGCCGCCGAAAAGTGGACGATGACTCGTCTTGCGTCTATGAACCAACGTTTTGTGAACTTTCCTCATGCAAGGTATGCTACGGACGTCACGTTCCAGTAGACCAACATACCCTCTGGATCGTACGTCGAGAAGATGCTTTTCTTAAGTGGGAAGCATCATTTGTACGGCCACAAAGTCGAGATGTCCGTGCTCCCGAACGGCTTGGCTATCGATTGCTCTGACTTCGCAAAGGGCAGTGTGTCGGAGTAGGCGATTTTTGACGGCAACGTCGAGTTCCACCGTATCAACTTGGCCAAAAAGGGTAGCGAGTCAAGCATGGCGGACGCAGGGCAAGAGGAGGACGCCATCGCGCGTTGGGCTGTGCTGGTCGATAAGAGCTATCAAGGAATTCAGCACCAAGTTCGCGGCATCATTCCAAGCAAGAAGCCGGCACACGGAATACTTGACTTTGAGCAGCTCCGCGAAAATGACCGCATTGCATCTGACCGTGCAATCGTCGAAAGTTTTTTTGGCCGCCTCAAGTTGCTTTGGGGCGTGTGCAGCGACACCTACCGCTGGGATCGTAATAATTACGACATGCTTGTCCAAACCTGCGTCGCGCTGACGAACGTTCATGTTCGTTTCCATCCGCTGCGGTCGGAGGACGGCGATGCCTATGCTCAGTATGTGAATCGCATGAATTCGATTGGAGCGAGATCGATGAAGGGTAAGCGCAATTCTGCTCGTGTTTACCGTTCAAAGCGTAAAGCTCGCCTGGCTCTTGCTCTGGTTTCCGTGAGCGCGTTGTCTGGTAATGTTGGCGCTAGTGATACTGAGGTGTCAAACCACGATGAGATGTAATTGAGGACATTCGGTGAAGTTGGACGAAACAGGTTGACAAAAGACGACACTATAGTTTACAAGCCAATAAATGGTAGAATTAGAAGGACTTGATTAAACGAATGCTGCATTGGAACGACCGTGGTTTCCTGCATTTCGTTGTACATCACATTGATGTCGTGTACGCCCGCCTCGACGACCTCAACGAACGCTTCGTTTGACAATCTTGCGGTCTTTCTTCGACATGCCAGGTAGAGTCGCCCGCTTGAGTCAGCAACAGTGATTACGTGCACGCAAATTCGAGATCGAACCCAATGCCTGCAGTTCTTCCTTGAGTGTTCGACGTCAATGATTTTGTCAACGCTACGTTGCAAACGAAAAATGCAGCTTGATGTATGAGTGCGTCACGTGTTCCTAGGCGTTGGCGTGTTGCAAGAAGACTCTACTGTCTGCACTTAGCCACACATTAGTGGTTGGGGTAGGACATTTTCCACGAGAAATGCTCTGTTCAAATCCTACGTCACTGTTAGGCATCATTTCGTGAGTCCCTGTTACACTGTTGTTGCTTTCCGCTGCGCCAGCACGATATATCAACGAAATGCCACGTCCCTATCTTGCCGTCCAACCAAGACTGGGTGCTTCAATGAAGCGCGGCTGTGTGACGGCCCTAAGGAACAAAACTTAGGTTAAGAACCCCTTGCTCTTGCACATGCGCTCAGGCTCTTGCTCGCCAGATACGAGGCAGTGTTTCACGAAGTACCTCCGCACTCTTCACTTGTCAGGTCCCGCCTTCTCGCTGCCATTTTGAGTGACATTTCAAAGTTTTTATGAAAAAGAGTGAATGTATTAACTATGCAAAATTTAAAAAACCTTTCGGCCTTGACGTGGATATGTTACAT